TCCACAGTAAAATGTCACCATCTACATGTATGGAGGTATTAGGCTGGAGTAAATTAACTCTCCCATAGGTTAGTACAGTCTGACATAAGTACTATCCTATGGCAGAGTTATTTACCCTGCCACAATGTACATGTAGACAGTGACCAGGGCTGGCTAAAACTCCAGTGTGGAGCCTGCCTGCTGGCTAGCCCTGCACTTCAGCATCATTGTGCCCTAGCCAGTACACTGAGCCAGGGTAGAGCAGCTCCAGGCTGGCAGGCTGACCCCCTGGGGTTGCTGCCAGCCAGAGGTATGCTGCCCTGGATTAACATAGATTCATACAGCATCAAGTCTGACCCCCTGCCCTGGGCAGAAAAGAGTGCTGGGGTCAGATGACCCCAGCCAGATGCCTATCCAGCCTTCTCTTAAAGACCCCCAAGGTAGGGGAGAGCACCACCTCCCTTGGAAGCGCATTCCAAATTTTGGCCACCCTCACCATGAAGAAGTTTTTCCTGATGTCTAGTCTCAATCTGCTCTCTGTCAACTTGTGACCATTGTTCCTTGTTACCCCCAAGAAACGCCCTGGTGAACAGAGCATCTCTGGTTCCTTGCTGCCCCACCCAATGAATTTGTAGGTGGCCACAAGATCACCTCTCAGCCTTCTCTTGAAGAGGCTGAAGAGATCCAGTTCCCTTAGTCTCTCCTCATAGGGCTTGGCCTGCAAAACCTTAACCATATGAGTGACCCTCCTCTGGACCCTCTAGAGCTTATCCACATCCTTCTTAAAGTACAGCACCCAAAACTGGATGCAGTACTCCAATTGCGGTCTGACCAATGCCACATAGAGGGGAAGCATCACCTCCTTGGATCTATTTGTCATGCATCTGCTAATGCATGATAAAGCGCAACTAGCTTTGCTGATGATTTCATCACACTGACAATGCATGTTAATCTTGGAGTCCACTATGACTCCAAGATCCCTTTCCACTTCTGTGCTGCTGAGAGGGGCATTTCCCAGCCAGTAAGTGTGCTGGATATTTTTATGCCCTAGGTGCAGCACTGCGTTTGTCCTTGTTCAACTGAATCCTATTGCGTTTAGCCCACTTTTCCAACCTGTCCAAGTCCGCCTGCAATCATTCCTTACCCTCCAGTGTGTTCATTTCACCCCACAATTTAGTATCATCCACAAACTTGGACAGAGTACATTTCAAGTCCACATCCAAGTTGCTGAAGAAGGCATTGAAGAGTACAGGTACAAGGACCGAGCCCTGCAGGACCCCACTGCCCACATCCTTTCAGGTCGATACCGACCCATCCACCACCATTCTCTGGGTGCAACCCCCAAGCCAATTTGCCACCCACTGAACTGTATAATCATCTAAGTCACAGCCTCTTAATTTATTTATGAGAATGGGATGAGATACCGTATCGAAGGCCTTCCTAAAATCCAAGTAAATGATATCCACCTCTACTGCTGCGTCTAAGCATTTTGTGACCTGGTCATAAAAAGCAACCAGATTAGTCAGGCATGATCTACATGCTACAAATCATGCTGCATCTGGATTCACACAAATATGATTCTTAATAATTTTTTCAAAGACTTTTCCAAGGGTAGAGGTGAGACTAACTGGCCTATAATTACTCAGATCCTCCTTCCTCCTCTTCTTGAAAATAGGGACCACATTGGCCCTTTTCCAGTCCTTCAGGACCTGACCTGAGTGCCACAAGAGCTCAAACAGCCGTTCCAGTGATTCTGCTATGACACCGGTCAATTCCTTCAGCACCCTCGGATGCAGCTCATCCGGGCCTGCTGACTTACACACATCCAGTCCATGCAAGTGATTCTGCACCAAGTCAGCGTCAACAGCTGATGGACTCGTGCACTTCTGATGTACATCTGAGAACCCATTAGGAGACTTATCTGTGGTCCTGGGTGCACTTGTAAATGCTACAACCAGAAGCAATAAACTCTGACACAAACTGTGCTGGATTCTATTCAGGTGCATTCATTGTGTATGTATATGTGCCGATTACACTGTGCAACTCTACTGAATCCAGAACAGCAGCAGGCATGTACAATTTTGGTCTACTGTATTTATCTGTGACTTCCATTTAGCTAGGAAAACAACACTGTCTAACACCACCGGGCAGCTATGGTTTACCTATTATTATGACACCATGAGGAAGAATACAAGTGAAAGGAACTGAAGGAAAAATTGGAGTATTTTTTGGCTTATTTATCTCAAGTAATTAAAAAAAAAGACATTAAGTGAATCAGGAATCTGAATCACTTTTGAAAAATTGGATTTAAGTGCTTTTGAAAACATTACCCTTTATGTATTTTGTAGGGCCGTGAGAAATTTTGCCTGCTGTTTCGTTTCAACGCAGTTTCAAGTAGTTTTGAGCTCAAAACAGCAAAATCAAAACAAAACAGCCTTGAAACAAAATGAGGGCAGTCAAAATGTTTTGAAAGTTTTTGAAAGTTTTGAAACATTTCAATTTTTGAAGCTGAAGCTGGGCTTGCCTTCAGGGAAACAAAGTAAGGAGAGGGAGGGGGAAGAGTAGGGAAGGACTGCTCTGACATTGACTGTGACTGTTTGGCTGCCTGAGATGCTGCTGGTGCTACTGTGCTGTTTACTAAGTTACTACCTGTTGTCTTTTAAAGTGGTGGGCCAATCTGAGGCTGTAGGGGAGGAGGAGACTTCATTGGGGCACACTATCATGTTGTGTAGAGGCCCCAGCGCCAGTGAAGGCACGCCTTAACATATACACACAGTCACCCATGTCACAAGTGTTGCTCAACAGCAGCTTGAGGTGCCTACACCTATCTCCTTGAAACCTGGCAGGCTTCATGGCCTCAGCAAGGGCTACCATGCCCGTAGTTTTCACCCCCATGTGCCTTCACACTTATAAGTGATACGAGTTTTGCTTTCAAGATTTTGTGGTGCAGTTTCCCAGAAACCCCTGCATCTATCTCCTTGAAACTTGGCAGGCATAATGCCCTCAGAAGGGGCTACCATTCCTGGTGTTTTTATCCAAATTTGCCAAAACATGACAAACTTATAGGCAGTTTTGTTCTTCCCCATTATAGCCTATGGGCAAACGTCAAAACAGAATAGAAACTGTGAAATGGTTTCAATGAAACGAAATGGAACAGTACTTTCGAAATGAAACAAAACTCAAAATGAAACACTGTCCCAGTGAAACGGAAGTTGAAACGAAATGGTGCCGTTTTGTACAGGCCCAGTATTTTGATAGTGTTATGTTTGTTACACAGCAATAACAAAAAGGAATGACATTTTAAAAAACTGAAATGAGGCTGTAATACCATGTAAACTGGAACACTCAGGGGCAAGTATAGGACTTGAAAGTGCTGGAAACTCATTGCTTGGATACTAGTTAGATTTTAGGTTTGAAGGTACCACTTCAAGAGATGGACGGCCCCTTTCTAAAGTTACCCAGTGCCTGGAGGATGTAGGAGTCATGGGTCACCCAAACAATGTGTATTCCATGTATTCCCAGGAAATGTAAAACTTGTACCCAGTTGTACTACTCCTTTGGCAGCATGGTTATATTGCCCAACCTCTGCTCCTCAAGGGATGTGTGCACCGATGCATGGAAAGTATAATGTATAATAGTATAATGCTCTTTCGTGCAGCATTCATTTAGGAGTGGATATCTATTGCCAAGGAAATGAGAACATGACTTTCTGCTTCTACTTCCAAAACTCTAGAGCATGTAGACACTTCTGTGGCATCCCAAGACAAGGGACATAATACCAGAGAGGAATACCCAAGTCCTCTGAACAAATCCTCAGAGAGACATTCTCAGCTAGCAGTTATGGAGCAGTGGATCTGTAACCTAATTAAATGTTGCCTATTCATTTCCAATGGATTCTACAAGATGACATTTTAACAGATCAAACCTAATTACTTGATAATGATAGAAATAATGGGTATTGATGAACATGGCTGTGGTGGTATTCATGCCTTTTGCAGATGTTGTTTTTTTTCCAGGAAAAGTGCAAATAATGCTTGCTGAGAATCCTTTAGGAAAAAAAAAACAGTGTTTTCCTCTAGAACATTTGATATTTTCAGGTACTTTACCATGCTCTTTTAGTTCAGTTTCATGTTATTATGACAGTGTATTAAATTTTAACAGCAAAAGCAAAGACACTAATGCAGGGGACAAGCCAAAAACATGCACAAAACCCCAGTGTCCTTGAACTCCATGAGAAAGAGTTATATACCTCAGTGCTCATAAATAATGCAATCAAAAAGAAAAAGGCATATGTTAAACTTTGGTTGCTTTATACATTGATACATTGTTTTTATAGTATTCATTCTAAGCTGACAGTGTAAAATTATTAGAAGCAGCAGCAGAAGATTTTCAACTCAGCATGCGTAGTAATTATTCTTCCAGGTCAATAACCATTAAAGCAAAACGTGGAAGGCTGAACCTTGAGTGCAGATTTCTGGGGAAAAAATCCCATATTCTTGTTCTGTGTAAAGCATTTAACTGTCGAAATTAATATAATCAACTACATAATGATTAAGTATGAGATATTTTGCATGTTCTTACTTATATTTTGTACTTTCCGTTACACAGATGACATATTTTCAAGCATTAAATATTCATTTCTGTTCTATAAAAAATTCATTACTACATCTGTCAATATTTGGAAATAGCTATCTATGCAGCAATATTCTTCCTTTTTAGGATACTTTAAATTAAACTGCCAGGGTAGGTAGCAAAAAAAAAAGGCAAGAGAAGATGTTGCAATTTAGGCAAATATAACAATTCTATTGTAGTACCAGAGAATTTGCTTCTTGGTCTTAGCATGTAAAGAACACAAGAATTGTTTATGTTCTTACAGAGAACAGAATAAGTAGTCAATCCTTCAGTGAAATGCTAATTTCCTGAAAAGTTCAAAGCCTGCACAGAAGGTTACCATGCCTTATACATCTACCTTTGCTTAAAGCCACACTCAAACACATAAGTGCGCTTTTGCGCACATACGTTTATTGCCTTATGCGAAGACGTTCAAAACAGTTCATTCCTGTTATCCAGGAGAAGAACCTAATGAGGTGTTCTTTGAAGGAGTTTTGTTGTAAAGGGTCCTCCTGATTATTATCAATACCTTGGTTCTGTAACACCTACAGTGGGTATATTTATGGAAGTCGCATTAAATACATTTAACATTTCTTTTGTCCAGCTACTATTTTATAGTACTTACCAAAATTCACTGTTTGCTCAAAATTCAGTATAGTGCAAATAAAAATACCTCCATACAAGTGCCTGGAAACAAATACTAATGTGGAGAAAAGTATGGGAGAAGTTGGGAACATACATTCAGACACTTGGTTTCAATAAAAGTTGGGCCTAAACTGCTTTCTGAACCTTTTTTTCCTTTTTCAGTGCTCCCCATTTATAACAAAGCATCATTACAAATACATATTTTTTTAACATGCTGGGTTGCCAAGGTATAGCCACATGACCACAAAAAGCGTGCAAAATTACTCATAGGACAATATAAACATATTCAGTCTGGTAAGACTGTACACAAGTCCACATCTGCATCTTCCTGTGCATACCTGTGTGCCCATGTGCACCTCAACACTGTAGTATCTACAAAAAATAATAGACTAAATATAGACATTGGATTTATGACACATTATAACCTGCCTCACATCTGACTCCCCAGGTACCTCTCCACTGTTTAACTGCTACATTCATCCCCCTTCTCCCCCGCCCCACCCAGCCTCTTCCATCCCTCCTCCCCCCCCCCCCAGCCCCCCCCAGCCTGTCTCTCACCTACTAACTCCTCAGTTTACATCTTCACTGACTTGACAGCCTGTCTCACATGCATGCCAGCCCAGCCTCTGGCCTCTTTACTATTCATTCCAACCAGGAAGAGCACACACCAAGTGCAGAGACTTCCTCAGACCGATGAAGGGTTTTTAAACCCAAAAGCTTTCAAACAAGATTTTTTTTCCAACTATTTCAGTTGGTCTAATAAAAGATCCAATTCACCCAAAGAACCTTGTCTACTTTGAAGATACACATTCCTCAGCTAAATGCTTGTTTAAATGAGACTGTGACCTCTTTGGCCAGGTACAGACATTGAACTTTTACCGGTATAAGGGATTGGAAGCTGGTCTATACTTGTAACAGAACAGCAGTTCAGCACACAGACTAGTTTAAAAATGGCAGAACCCAGTCTAAGATTTGCGCCTCCCCCTGCCCCACCACAAAGGGCGAATGTGTGTTCTGTTTGCTGCTACCGATCTAAACTACACTTAGAAAAAAATGTGCAACTTGGATAAATTCCGCATTGAACTTTTTGAATGTCTGTACCTAGCCTTGATGACAAAATATCAGAACTGACTTAGATGCACTTGGTTAGAGACAGCTTGTTAGAGAATTCAGAAAAATACATGTGCTTTTTTTTCCAAGGGTATAAACTACAAACCTAGGGTTTCATGCTAGACTCTTTATTCAGGTACCATTTCCATTGATTTCAAGTGATTGGCATGGACTGTGAATTGGTTAAAAAAAAAACAAACCGCAATATATTTTCTTACGATTAAAGAAAAAGTTACCGTGATAGTCATTGTATTAAAGTGAACACCAATAAAATCATATTGTTGGTGTCCTGCAGGAAATAAAGTTGCTCACCATCTTCAAGTGAGGGCACACATTAAAGAGATCTTAATACACAGTGACAAATAAAGCCATTATGAAAATTTAAACATTTGCATTAGTAATTCAAAATTTCCTTTAGGTAAAAAAGTGTCTAAAATATTTCCTTTACTTGGTTATGTTATCTGTTTCAATTCCTATTATATCACAAAAGTGTTCCAACACAACTTCTTCTAACATTTATATAATAGATCATCATCTTTGGAAATATTAACATTTTTTATTGCAGCAAAATAAAATTAATTTTAAACATAGTTCAATTGTTTTCCATGCAAAGCATTTTGACATACCCAAGGATGTGCTAGTAATGTTAACCTAAGAATTTGTTTTGGCAAGAGTCCATGGCTTTCCTGTAGTTACTGTGACATTGATGTATGAACTCTTTATCTGTCTCATTTGGTAGTTAGTCTTAGAGTAATAGGAAAGTAGGACTGGAAGAGACCTCAAAAAAGTCACGTAGTCCAAATAGCTTGCTCAAGGCAGGATCATTCCTGACCAAATGATCCCAGTCTAGTGTTTGTCTAACCTGAGTTTCAAGAGCTCCAATGACCAGAGCTGACCTGAGCAGGGTGTGGGGCCAGGGCAAATCAGCCCATGTGGGACCCTGTCCCTGGTCTGATCCCACGCGCCCTATAACTGAAGAAGCTGCTGCTGCCATTGGCAATGGCAGCTTTAGTGGCGGGGGGAAGTGAGCGGGCTGCTCCACCCAGCTCCGCAGGGCCCCCCAAAGTGCAGGATTCTACCAATGACTGAGAGATTCCATATAACCATTTTAGGTAATCTATTCCAGTGTTTAAATACCCTCAAGAGTTAGCAGATTCCTCCTAGTATCTAACCTGTATCTCCCATGTTACAATTTAAGCCTGTTATTTCTTGTCCTGTTCCCTGTGGATGCAGAGAACAATTGATTGCCGTACTCTTTATCACAACCCCTTCTGTATTAGAAGACTGTTAGTAAATTCCCCTCTTTATCCTTTCTCTAGACAAAATAATCCCAATCTTCCACCTTTTCTTCACGTCAGATTTTTTTAGACCTTGAATAATGTGTTGCTCTACAACTATTTAGTTGGTCTAATAAAAGATATCAGATTCACCCAAAGAACCTTGTCTGCATATTGCTCTACTCTGACCTTTTTCCAATTTGTCCATATCTTTCTTTAAGTGTTATGCTTGAAACATTGTGCACTATGTGAAGTTTCTGTGCAATCACTGTGTGTGGCTGCAAGAAAAGCATATTAAAGGTAAAGATCATCTAACACTTGGATGACATTGGGAATGACATTAAGGGTCTGCTTCCAGGTGATACTTAAAACTGCTAATCTGTAGGTATTTCCTAATGCATAATCTTAGCATTCTTGTTATTTTACTTTCCAGTACAGGGTATTAGAGACATTTATCATTCCAGAAAAGTTAGCAAAGCTACCACTGTACTTTGATTTTTCAAATGAAATTCTTTGGGTGGACATTACCTTTTCTAAAGGACTTTCTACTCGAGGAATGCTGATCATTGGCATCTGAGCCAGACTGTCCATATGTGAATGTTCATGTTCCGATTGTCTTCCTCTAAAGTTATTTACCACACATACAACCTAAAAAAAGGTTAGGAGGCAGTTAGAATAACTATTAAACATTTTAATTATTCAAGTCTGATCATGCAATCTTAACTCAGGCCAAACTCCTGCTATTGTTAGAGCTTACAGTAGAAGCACAGACTTATTAATGAAGTATTAAAAAAATCCCAATTGTCCTATCATAAATAAAACTAAGTACTATTTCAAATTATTCTGAGATCAATGAGCTTCTACCCGAATAGAAAGTTCAGAAATTGACCAATTGTAATTAGAAGCAAAAGCATAATTCTAGTAAAAACAGCATTATAAATCTGAGTTTGTAAACTAGATTGGCTTAAATTGTTTTTTGTTCTAGTCAAACTCGTGTTTTGACAAAAAATATTAAATTGATATTACAAAGATATAATTTTAAACAATGTATTATTTATTTCACACATCATCATAGTGCAAGAACTTTCTGAATGAAAATCTGTTGCTGTTGTGAAATAATGTTACCATTTCCAACAATTTAAAGTTCAAAATAAAGGAGTGTTCAAAACAGCTTTTAATCAAATAAATTAATAAAAAGTACAGTAATACCCAAGTTTTCCCTAATGGATCTAACCACATATAATTTAACTGCTTATCACCTGATGCTACATGACATAAAATACAAGCACAAACAGCTCTTCATCTGGCAGTAGTTAGAAAGTATCAATGCATTGTACTTTATTAATCTCGGGGACTATTAATATTAATTTTATTTATGTTACAGTGTTTCTTCACTCTGATGGCTTTTTCAATATTGTATAGTTGAATATGGTACAGAAATCTGAGTAGCATGCACATAATGGAAAAGTACTCTAGTAAAAAGATGGATTAGTGTGAAATAATTCTCAGATCTGTTAAATAATATTGCCTGAAGTGGACTAAATATAAATTGCATACCTTAATTTCTGAAAAGTATTTATAATCCTCTCTTTTCAACAGATACTGTAGCCTACTGCAAAATGTCTTTGTTTTACATAACTTTTATTGTACAGTGCAATTTCTTTCTTTAAATTATTCCAGTGGCAAGGTTCCTACAAAACTGATGTTTGAATATAATGGTGACATTCATATAGCATGCCCAAATTGTTTCTTCTTCTCCAGAAACAGCTAGTGAATAATCAAACATTTAATACCCAAAATGTTGAGTTTTCCACTTAGAAGCCATTTGATTGAGCAGGGGGTTTTGCTACTGTATGTTAAATGTGATGCCCTACCATTTTTATAAAAGGAACTCATACTCTATAGTGCCAGCATTCAGAAGTTAAGGTAAAAGGATGGGCTTTTGGTTTCCATCTGTGCTGGAGGCAGATCTTCAGGGGTACACACAGCACAGAAAATGTAGAAAAAGCAGCTTGCTAAGAATCCCACGAGCATGAAATATTTCCACTGTGACAGCTTAAGCAACTGATTTGGGCTCCTTCTGGCGTAGGTAATCTCCTGGGGCAGGTGGAATGCGTGGTCAGATACTCCATCTGTCCTAGGCAAATAGGAGGGCTCTCAGATATGGGGGAAAAGGCATTACTTCTGGTGGAACGAGGGAGTAACATCATTCCTCTCTTCCCTCTCCGGCATCTAAGAGAAGTATAGCTCAAGACCAAAGAACCAGGACCCAAAGTATTTTGTAGAGTAAAAATTATATGAACTTTGAGGAGTGAATATAATGCTATTGCATGGTGGCAGATGGATAGACCTGTATAATAAATGAGAGGTAGTTCAACTTCTGTACCCTTTCCATAGATCAGCCCTCTACTGAGATTCTGAATGAAGAGGTTATGAATGAGGTTTTATGATGTGGATATATGTCCGTATAAATCAAAACCACACATCTGGCTGCAAGAATACAGATCTAAGAGAAAGGGAACCTTGCATACAAGGCTGCAAATGAAATAAAAGAAAGCTATATATTAAATAAATTCACTTAATTCTTGAATAGAACTTAAAACTAAGTGAAGGACTTTTATTCCAGAAAACCACACCATTTTCAACAACATGAGCCAAATATAGCAGGGGTATTTTAAGTAAGAAATCACTACTGTGCAATGAAGAGGTTTGCTTCTTTGGCCCTGATAAGTAATAATAAACTAAATTCTAATATTCTGTTATCAAAACCAATACTGGATGCCATTCTGAAAGATACTCTAGCTCAACCAGTTACGGAATGCTACAAGAATTACCAGATGAAATTCTATGACCTGTATTGTCCAGGAAATCAGATGAGATGATGATATTGGCCTTAGTATTTATGAAAAATAAATCTATGAACACTGGTATTTTAACTAACAAGCTTGGACACAACACAAAGTCTGACATTTTAGAAACCTGTAAAGAAATCTACAGAATCAATTCACCCATTAGGAGATGCAAATGTATTCATTACATTCTTTATTGGGTGTTAGGTGAGAAATCCTGGCCCCAGGATTGCTTTCCCCATTGATTTTCAGTAGGCCAAAAATTTCCCCCTTTGCACCAGATCCTAAAAAAGACCTAGGTGCCTAAAACAGAACCTAGGCAGACGTTGCAATCCAAGAAACCCCTGCTCATCAACCTCCTAACTCTGGAATTGCTGAGGCACCTACTTTTTTGACCAGAAAGTTCCCTTGGTACCTGCAGTTCTGCTTTCTGTGCATGTCTCTAGACTGAGTTACAAGGTATCTAACACTTAACTACGCCTCACTGAGATCCAGAAACTAGGTAGGGCAGGGCCTAACTACCCTGAGAGGCCCAATCTAGCAGATGAGTTCAAAACTCATTGACAACATTGATTTCAGCACAAAAAAGCAGAAGTCATTTACATTGGATTTCACATTGTCCCATATTGTCACTTTATTTATAGAAGTCTATTGCCAGACATTGGTTCAAGGATCTAGCGCTTGAGTAGATAGATCCTTGTGAGTTCCCACCCTGATTTAGGTGCCCAAGCTCTAGAAAAGGGTTGGAATTTAGATGCACCCTTATTCTCAGCATTTCTTATTGGTTAACCCTAGATGGATGCCTGCTTAGCATGTAGGTATTTTTGTAATTTTTTTGAGGCTTTAACTCTCCCCATGCACTGTGTTGGAGGCCTACGTACTTAACTCTGGGTTTTGGATTCTACTCTGAGGGCCAAGCATGTAACATTTAGTCATTACAGCACCTTACATATACGCTCCTAAGGTTCTTATTGCATGTAGCCTTCCAATTCTCTTTATCCACATCCAAAACACACACTTACCAAAAAAACTGCTATAGATATTCCAATTAGAAATCCTGCTATCACATCTGACCAGTGATTTCGATACTCTGCTACTCTGTTGATTCCAGTAAGAAAGGCCAGACATATTAAGCCCAAACACAGAACAGGTTTTGCAAGTCTTGTTCCTCTGGCTTTTACTGTGTTGGTAATATACATCTGGAAATTAAAAGAAGAAAATACAAAAGACTACAATGAATGATATTTCCTATCAATCTCTGAAAGACTCTTTAGAATTTGGTGCACACTTTTCTGTTCAAAACAAGAAAGAAGAGCTTTCTATTCATTACATTACCCAAGCCTGTTGCACTCTTTTCTTACCCAGAGATTGGATGAGTACATTTTTCAGCTGGGATTTATCATCATTACAGACATTGGAAATCTAAGCAATATACAACAGGGCTCTTAATCTCATTTAAAACTTTAAATGGTAATTTAAAAAATCCAACTTTTTTTTTTTACATTTAGGATGTTTATGCTCAATTGCTCATGCTTTTGGGGAGCAAGGGTTTTTGGCACTGGTGCCAGGGAAGAATATACCTGTCCTGCAAAGCTCCTGATCTGAGCCAGAACAGAGTCTTGTTTTCACAGGCAAGTGTTTGTACCCGCATTTTTTATGCAACAGCTTTAAAGGGGAGATTGTCCATCTGTTTTCTGCATAGTCTGACAGTACATGAGAATTTGCCAATAACAGTGAGAATCATACCACCACCCAGATCTAATTTTTGGAAATAAAACATATCAATTTCAACATGTCAATTTAAAACATGTCAGTTCTGGGCAGATCGTGTTTCTGTACTTTTCAGATGCTGATGGAGGGCAATTAGTGCCAATTAACCTCATTGTGTGAAGAGGTCTGGAAACAGAAACTTATTTAAACAGTTTTGCCAAACTCCACTTAGTCAATTTCTTCACCCCTGACCAGCTATGAAATATCATCACTGTAAACACACTATGCGAGCGCAAATGGTGACTTATGACAGTTCACTGCTTTGACACTGGCAACACACAATTTAGTGATGTGGCCACACCAGTAACAACACTGAAGTACGCAAAGTTTGATAGACCCACAGAGATGTTGACTTATGGCTTAAGACCCTGTGTTGAAAAGGTCCCTTTTCCAGTCCTTCCAGATACTAAGATCTAGGGCCTAGTGTTACATGAAATTCCTCTGCCTAAACTGGTTTTTGATGGAAAACTAAGTTCTCAATTAAATGCATTTTTCCTAGGTGATTCCTCCACATGCCAAAGGAGTATTTAGTTTCTGCATAAGATTCTGAATTTCTAAAACATAAACATCTAAAAATTCAAACTTTACATAGTTGGGGACTAATTCTTAGAGGGGGAAAAAAAAGATAAGCCATGTATTTCTACCCCATGCTGCTTTAACGTTCAGAACCATCTCCTAGTATTGCCCAAAGAAATAGGGCTGCATAGGGAACTATTATTTTATATTTCTAAAAATGACAAGTGAACAGACCATTCAACCCTCTGAAAGCTTCTGACTGGTTTATATGGGTAGTATGTCACATAGTACTGCAGAAACCCAATCAGCAAGCAGACCAATGAAATATTTGATATAGACTTATAGAAGCAACTGCAAGCCAAACAAAAACTGGCTCCTTGTCTTGAATCCTAGCAACAAACCAAGAGCTGGAATATGCTCAAAGAAAGCATGTGTCAAAACCAGCTAATCACAAAGTGCATGTAGGTGTTAAGCCACCATATTATAGATCCATTGACAAAACATGATACATGCCACTTTTTTTCCTTAGGGTATGGATAGAAGGCCCATGATATAGATAAAATATGAATGGCAGAATCAGAGAACTTAAATAATAGTACAGTATTATGGAACATGCACACATCACATACCTTGCATGGTGCTTAAACTTGCACATCACTGGATTTCCAGCATAAATTATGCTGCTAGCTTGCATTAATTGGAAGGATGTGGTGAAGAGCAGACAGCAGAACATAAGAAAAAAAACATTTCAGCCCATATCTGCAACCCATATTACTCCCCTTTTCACTCTAGCTCATTTAGGAAACAATATATTTTTCCCTTCACTTGCTCTCTTTTTAAGTTTTGGTCACATTTCTCTGGGCTTTTCCTTCTCTGTGCTCTGCTCCTATGCAATATTGATAAGACAGTATTAATTTCAACTTCCAGCTGTTTTCCAGCTATTTTCTTTTGGTATTGAGCACCCAAGCCCACTTCTCCAGCGACTGAGAGAGCTGAATCACCCAATGACACCTATATTTCAATGACACTTACTGCACTCCAGAGTACTGGGCATTTTAGTACACTATGATCTTTGTTATCCACACTACATATTATAAACCAGATTTCCATTATTCCTTGTGTCAGAGAAAAAACTGTGATGTCTTGAATATACAGAAAGTTCACCAGGTTTCAAACACAGCTTGAATAGGACTGACAAGAGTGGGTTGGCAGCAGGCTACGCTTGTTTTAATTCTACTCCATAGGTGTTAAAGCAAAATGACTACTTGTAAGTAAATATCAACTAAATAAAGTACATTTTTCAAAGGCAAGTGACAGTGATGTATATTAATTATCTATAATAGGTACTCATCACTCCAGAAGATAATCTTAACTCTTAACAGAAAAGTCAAAACCATTATGGTGCTGAATGGAGCTCATTGCTCCCATTCTGTGTGAGCCACAAGGACTCAGAACTTTGTAGGAGATGTTCACCAGCACTCTGCACTATTCACGCACATTCCTGAAGACCTCATTTCAGGCAAAACATCCACTGAATCAAAAAGCGCTGCAGAATCCAGCCCAACATGTCTAACTCATAAGTTCTGGCGTCTGGGCCCACTGAAAACTATATTTAAGGTGGTAATGGCCCTTCTGTTCTTCAGAGTAGTAGTTTGAGAGTTCTGATAATATAGTTACCAGTTTTATCAAAACACAGCCACAACTGATTGTACAAATAATGTTGAATTAATGAATCAGTGTAAGCATGACAGTATCTTTAGTTCAAACAGTATCCATTTGCGATCTTCTCTGTGTCTGTTTCAAACCAGAGAAAACATATGTTTCTAAGACTGGTTACCTGCAGTTTTGGTGGTACATTCATCTTAGTCAAAGATTAGGTTTGTGCTAAGGAATAAAATGTAATTAAACAATGGTTTTGTTCATGCTCTTGAAGCAAAGTGCTGGAAAAGCAGGATAAACAAACGTATGATAAAAGAATAAAGATATTACAAAGATGACTGAGTTTTTGCTATTCTTCATAAATATTAAATGCATTCTCGGCAAAGGATCAGTGAATTAAAATTGGGTTCTCCTCAGCGAGAATGAATGATATGATAAATTGTAAGTTGAATAATGATAGTTACTGAACAAAATTCTATTTTAGTTTCTTCCAGGGACAAAAGTGCAGGGTAATTCTAAAATAGCCTTGTAAAGTAAACTCAGCAGAAGGACCAATAAACAAATAAGATCATGGGTATAATGCCAAGAATAACTGATAGGGGTTGATCCATTAGAGAATTCTCACAGATAGCATTTTGCATTCAATTCACAGGTAGTATTTCTTTCACCACACAAGATCATTGTTAAATCTTGACTGTGGATACTCTTGCTATTGCTAATCTAAATTTAGGTCTATGCATGCAGAGATCAGAAGACACTATAGACAGGCGAGCACAAGCAGTAAGGGAGCAATATGGAAGTAAGTGTCATGTAGTACAGTGCTTTTGTACGCAACATTTACTATTCAGCAAAAAATGTATACAATATAAAAATGAAATAAATACCTTGAACAAAGCATTTCTGAAAAATGTTTGTCAGTTCATTTTCTTTTGATTGTGACGAATACAAACACTAGCAACCTAAGCAAGATTGGAGGTACTGTATTACTTTTGATATCTATACTTTCAGAGCCTATCAATATAAATAATAAATACTAATAATAATTATCTTTCCATAGATCAGATTTTTAAAGGCATTTCAGTGAGAAATGATACACTATCTTTTCTTGACAATCTTATTTACTATTTTTCTCATCTTATATAAATGCAGTGTTAAGTATTCTAACAAGTAATAAACCTACCTCTTAAAAACTCATTCTGTAATCAAATTTTGCTTAATGTCTTCTTGTTTAAGAAAAAACAGCTGTACATATCAATTTATATTTTTTAGACATTGCATGTATTATACGCTTGATAGCAAGGTCAAAAGTAAGACTTAATTCTAAAAGCCATATAACAATACAGCAATTTATTGTTATTTCCACTAGAGGTCAGAATCATCATCACCACCACCATAAAGTATACAAACAAACTGGATCCTCAGACAGGAATCTCGAAAGATTATAAGCAGAAGAAAAATTAATGTTCATATTAAAATCTTAACAGGAAAGCACCCAGCAGAGGATATTATGCTGCAGAAAATATAAAATATAGGTTTTACAAAGTTCAACAGACACCTTAGACACTAAATGCAACAATTCAGAAATAAGCAGTCATGTGTCAAATGCAGGCCAAATGATTTGCAGGCTTCTAGCAAGAGTTATCTCTAAGCTTTTTCTTTCAACAAATCTTTAACTCATCCTCCCACTTTCCCTTTCCTTATTCTCTTACATATGCATATACCCAGAGTCATACATACAGAGTGGCTCAAAACATCCCATGTTTAGCTAGGGGATGGTTACCTCAATTCCAGTTGAGTAAGACCAAGTCAGGTTGCTCACTCACAGAGCAACTAATCAGAACACCATTACATTCTTGACCGGCCTGCTCTGAATTGTGGCTAAGCATTCATTCAGCCAGAAAACTGTACTGTGGCCTGCTACTGCACCTTATTGTTGAAGCAGGTGGATAGGAATAATAGACTGGAAGGACAGGATAGATCAGCAGCAAATTACTACCCTCATAGAAGGGGTGCAGAAGGAATAAATCCCCACCCCACCTTGGAAAAGCACAAATTAGCCATTTTTAAGCATTACGTAGTTAGAGAACTGCTAAACTATACAGATAAAGGTGATCATATGTGCTTCATCTGTACGGCATGTAGCCCCATCAATTGTTCATGCATCCAAGGATCACAACATTTAAATAAATGACAAAATAAACAAAAGAAAGTCTCAATACACAGACATATACCTCAGTGCTTCCCAACCTGGGTT